ATAGGTGCCTTTCTGTGAACCCCAGGTCCCCCACCACCTGAGGCTGAAACACCTCATCCTCCGCAGGCTCAAGGGCACAGAGCAGAGCCAAACCCAGGCCTCCCGGATGCACCTCCCCACTTACCTCTCCTGGACTGGCGGCTTTTGTCCCTGAGGCTCCAAGGTGGGCCTGGAGAGGAACTGGGGCCCTGGGTGGCCCTTCTACCTTGGTTCCCCACACTGACTAATCGAGGCTTGCTAGATGAAAAGGCGTCCACTTCCCAGATGTCTCAGTGCTCACATCTAATATCTGCTAAAATCCAAATACTGCTCCTATAGCAAAGCAAATCCCTATGACAACGTGTCAGAACACGTGCAGAACGCGTCCCATTGCGAATGTGTTGGAGCAGCACTGTGTCTCTGCATCCTGTCCTCATCGTTCCCCTCCAAGAAACGCTGTCGTGGCAGCATGTAGGCCCTTTCGAGGCCTTGTGGGTTTAGACGCAAAACGCTTAGAAACAAAAACACACGGAGCATCGATGCTTACACTGGAGCAGCAGCTTTCTCTCCAGTTGGAGCCACTGGCTCCAGGCAAATCCTTGAGGACCGCGGGGTGGATCGGAAGGGCTGGGGTTGGAAGAGTGTGGGAGGAGGGCAGAGCTGGGCTGCCTCGGTCAGAGGTGAGGCCCAGGGTTTGAGAAGCTCCTGGCAGGGCCCAGTTCTCAGGATGGGGCACAGGAGATTCCATTAGAAACACCTCAGAGTGGGGCTGTGTGGCTCAGTGTTAAAGTCCCTGGGTTTGATCCCAGCACCACGAAAGGAGGAGAAAAACTAGCCTGGACCGGAAACACAGCATCAAAGGCAAGATGCACAATCGTGTCAGTGCCACAGAGATCAGAAACAGCCCAACCTGTCCCTTTTCCTGCTGACACCAGAAGGGTACATGGTCTGCAGCTACAAACGCACAGTCAGGAACACCCATACCCACTGATGTCTGCCTTGACCAAAGCTGGCTTGAATTTGTACCAAGCAGCAGGCTTGAACTAGAATCAATTTGGACCTATCAGCAGTCTCAAATTTGGACCAATCAGCAAGCTCAAATTCAGGCCAATTAACAAGCTCAAACTTGAGCTGGGCCAATCAGCAGGCTCGAATTGAAACCAATCACAGGCCTGCTACTGCTCTTTATAAGCAGCTCCCCTGCAGCTTGTCAGGTTGGTATAGAATGGCTTCCACACTGGAGGATGAGTGTATTGGTTCCTTTGGTATCCTGGGTCCTGCTGCCAGAGCAGACGTTAAGCTAAGCCTCTGTAACACTAGGGGCTTGTAACCCTGGGGAGTTCCAGAAATGAAACCAGGGGTCTGAAGAGATCCATAGAGACAGGAGGGCTAGCATTTTCAATCAGCTGGCACAGGGTTAAACCTTGACTGCTGAGGGGTGGATGGGAGGTCCAGAGCTGTAATACTAAGGGCTGAGGCCTCTAGCTTCTCTGTCCCAGAGCTGTACCAGGAGCTGAGAGCCCCTAGCACACTTCAGGCCACCCGAGTCAAGTGAAGGGACCTGCACTGCTCCCATTTCTGACCCCGTGTTCCATGCCCAGTCATAGCCAGGGTCAGACAGGCAAAACTAGGAAGTGCAATCATGGACAAGCACAATCGCACCCCATGTGCCCACCACACACACAACCTGGTGAGTCCTTACCACAGCCCCGACACCCTGAGCTCCAGGGGTCAGCTCTGCCAGGTGAGGTCGCCATGGGGAAGGCCAGGAAGAAAGAGGGTGTCACCTGAGAGGGAAAGACAGGGTCCCAGGGTCACTCAGGTCCCTCAGGTCCCTCACCAATCCTTAGCCCCAGTCCTGGCTCCTTACTCGGCTGCCTTGGGGGGCTCAGCAGGACTGGTCAGATGCACTTGGCACCCGGGACATCAGACTGCGCAACTGGCCCTTTTCTGCAGTCTCCCCCCTCTTCCAAGTCAGTTCCTTGATTAATCCTGGAAGCTTCCAGGAGTCTTCCCGCTGGGAGCCTTTCCTCTGCCTCCAGCTCTTAACTGATCAGCTTGCATACCCTGGTTTCTTTCCACTACATTTGAATTGAGCAAATTCTACTTTAACTGAATTTGGTTTTTTTTGTTTGTTTTGTTTTGTTTTGTTTTGTTTTGTTGGTACCAGGGATTGAATTCAGGACTTTGCATTTGTAAGTCAGGCAGTGGAACCACTGAGCTAAATCCCCGGCCCAGAATTTGATTTTTAATTAAAAAGCAGGAAGTTGTTTCCACCCAGCTCTCTGCTTAACCTCTCTTCCTTGGTCACTACTGCTGGGGGAACCCCTGGACGTCCTTGGACAGCAGGTGTTCTGTGGGGTGAATCGTGGCTGCAGACCCCAGTGTTTCTGTGTCCTCACTTCGCTCTAGTGACCTGGCCTCCAGGGACATCACTCTGACAAGCCCCTGACACTGGGTGCTGAGGAGAGGACCGTGTATGCATCCAGCCCTCGCTTTTGGGGACAGCAGCTCTGCCATGGAGTCTCAGCCCTGGCTGCTACAGGCACAGATGGCACGTCCACCCTGCTCCAAAAGGAGGGGTGTCACTATCTGCGACAGCGAAAGCCACCTGGGAAGAGGCTGCTGGCACCTGGCAGTGCCGGAGGGAGGACACAGGAAATCAGGAAGGCCCGTTGGGCAAGGTGGCTGCGTGGAGCAGCTGGTAGCTGCTGTGAGGCCCAAGTGGGAAGGACCTCTCTCCCCTGAAGCAGTCTCCTGCATCCCTGAGAACACAGGTGCCAAGAGGCCCCTTGCCCCACACCTGTGGGAAAGCAGGGGCTGTTCTTCCTCCCAAGACCCCTGCAGAGAGCTCAGCCTCCCACTGTCTGCCACCTTGCAGCCCACACCTTTGCCAGCCCACCTGACCCTCTGCACACCTGAGCCCACCCCAAACCCAGCTCTTGCTGGCTCTGGCTCTTTGGGGAACCTTCTCCCTCCCTCCAGCAGGGCCAGGGCTCTTCCTTTCTGCCAGCCTGTGTGGTAATAGCATCACGGGGGTCAGGGGGCCCCCAGGGCCCTGTGATCAGCAGGCAGCAACAAGGCCATAGAGGAGGGACCCCTCCCTCTCAGGGACCTGCAGGCAGCTGATGCCTTACTCCTCTAGGGACTGTGGCCTCTGCACCACCAAGCTGGGGCCGAACACGCTGGCGGTGTCACCTTGTCAGGATCCCGAGATTGGAAACTGGGTGAGGGGACCTTCGACTCCCAGGGCTGGTAGGCCACAGCACAGGTGCTACAGAGTGTTTTATGTAAATTTGGCCCATTTCCCTTAAATGTTTTTCCCTTGGTTGTGTGACCTCGAGACAATTTCCAGAGACTTTAAGTGGCTTACTTATTTATTCTTTGTGATGGTTTGCACCATCACTGTGGTTTGGTCCGTGAAGTTTTCCATGTCATGAAAAGTGGATTCTCTACATCATTTTGTATTCTGTGATTTTGCTTCTTATACATCCAAAGAAACCCCAGGATCTCTTAAAGCCATGCTAACCCCCTGCATTTAGTTGTAAACTGCAGAGATTCCACCTGAGGAAAACTTCAGTTTCTTTAACGAGCCACCACTTCTCCACAAGGAGCAAAGCTATGATACAGGCCTGGTTGGTGTCCGCAGCCAGGTCGCCATGATCTCAGCCCAGGCTCACGAGGGTGAAGCCTGCTTCAGACAGGACAGGGCAAGAATTTCCTTCAGCCCCATACAAGCTCTCCTCAGTCCTCACAGTCCCACACTGCCTTGGTCCTCCAGACCCACCCCCAGGTGCCCCGGGGACTGTCAGGGCTGGGATCTCAGGCTGTCTGTCCTGGTGGGGTCACATGACTTCTCAAAGCCTCTGCCCACACCACACCCTCACAGTCTCTGGGATTTTGCTCATGATGCCCCTCTGCAATGGAAAACTCCTACTCACCCTTCAAGACCCCACTCAAAAGCCCTTCTCCATGAACCTTCCAGACAGACCCACTGCTATATCTGCTTTTCCCTCTGTGTATGCTGCTTGAGGGGCTGGGTGTCTGCCTCCCTAACATATGAGGGGGACTCTTGGAACCCAGCTGTGCCTTTCAAATTGCTGTGGTCCCCATAGCTCTGAACGCACGAGTGAAAAATCTTCGTTGAGAGAAGCTGTCAAAGACCACCCCAAAACTTATGGACGAAATTGAAGACATTTTGAGACAAAAGTTCCTCGTGTAGCTCTGCCTCTGACACGCGCACACACATAATACACCTTCCTAGTGTGTGCCCTGCACCCTTATTACCCTGGGGAAAACACACGAATGAGCAAAATAGTGGGGAAAAGGATTCAAACAGTGGCCGGAGTGAACTTTTGTTGACTCCCTCCCTGCATGATCACTTCGCCTGCCCAAGATCAATGCTGAGTGAATGTTTATTTCCCTTCCACTGAAAGCCTGTGTGGACTGAAGGGACCCTGTGTGGCCACGTGGGTCCCCACCCGCTCCAGAGGGGTTCACTCCAAGGTGGGGCCACACACACTCCATCCAGGTCAGGGGAGCCCCTGCACTGGTGCTGGTCCTGTGGAACCCCAACCGCTACCCACCCTTCACATTCAACAGAAACAAACACAACTCCAAGCACCACCTGCCCCCCGCCCCTGGGCCGGCTGTGTCCTTCACCGGTATCCATCAGTGACAGCCACTGTGGACAGGGCCAGGTGGACACTGAGCGGCCTCCTGCTGTACTCCCAGTGCCCTGGGCCACCCCTGCCACCCAATAGTGGGACCAGAGTCTGCCACACCCCACCCAACCCCCAACTCCACCGGGTAGGGTGTCCCACTGATCCCAGTGGGCAGAAGGGGCTGCGATGCTGGGCAGCGGCCTGTCCTGTAGGGCTGCAGCTCTCTGAGCCTGAGTGCTGACATCTTGTGGTTCTGGAGGTTCTGGGGCTCCCCGTTTATCACATAGATGCCGCAGGCTCATCCCCAGAGAGCAGGAACTAACTCTGACTCCCCTGAAATAAAACAAGCAGGAGTGAAGGTGCAGACAGTCTTTACTCAAGGGAGGGTTGGGGCAGACACAGCACAAGACCACGGTCTCCAGGGGGCACAGGGAGGCCTGGAGTTGAGGGAACAGACCGGCGGGTCACACGAGGATGTCCAGCTCCCTGGGGCCTGGACAGGCAGGGCTGTAGCAGGAGGTGATGTGAGCCAGGGCCGGAACTCTGCTGTGAGATGGTTGGGACCTGGGGCCAGCATAGGGAGCACAGCGCTCGGCAGCAGACGACACGACGCTCAACACACGAGCTCGAACTTAAGAGCAAGCACAGGGCCCCAGCCGGCGGTCACCAGGGAGCACGCCGCCTGGGCAGGAAGGAGTCTGCCATGACCGGGCGACGGCAGCCGCGGCTCTAATGGCCTGCGGTCACGGCATCCGGTCCGTCCGCTTGCTGCGCCACACCACCAGGCCGGCCATGGCCACTGTCAGCAGGACGGGCACCGCGATCAGCGGGATGAGCACCTCATCGGGCGGGTCCTCCCAGTGGGTCCTGTCCACCGAGCAGTTGGAGAAGAACTGCCGGTGGACGCCGGTGATAAAGCCCTGGGCCAGTGGGTTGGGCCAGTAGCAGCCCACGACGACAGTCTCCACCTCGGTGCAGTTGGTGAAGCTCTCGTAGAACCTGCATCGGCAGAGGCTGACCCCTCAGCAGTCAAGGGGACCAGAAGGGGGCGCTGTGGGGCCATCCCACGGGGCCACCTACTCCAGGTTACGTCCACAGCCCCCCGCCCCCCCCCCGAGTCTGTAACCCTGACTTTCAGGGCTTGAACTCCCAGGATCCCCCAGAACCACCCACCGAGTGGACATGCCAAGCCCCGTGTCTCCAGGGACCTGGCCCCAGCAGACGCCTGCCATCCAGGACCACTCTGAGGACCCAAGCGGAAGTCTTCCCAGCACCTTCCAGCCTTCCGGGTCACCTGTTCTTGTGGGCCAGGTGGAGAGGGGGTCACAGCGGGAGCCCCAGCACCTCCTCTCCATCCCCTCTGCCACACCTGGCCCAACACTTGTGGGGTGGTCACATTTGTGATCTCAGCAAACCCCCCCAAGATTGGCCCCACTGCCAGGAAAAGGCCTGCATGTGTCTCAGGGCTGTCCAAGGACTGCAGGTGGTCCTGGACCCTCCTTGTCTACCCAACAGAGGGTCCCTGGGCTCCCAACCCGTCTAAGCCCGGCAGTCAGCATAGATGCCAAGTCACAGGTCAGACACACCTGCCCTGCTCAAGGAGGGAATCCTTGTCTGGAATCTGCCTGGAATCCTTGTCTAGACCAGCAGTGCTCCTGGGTCCCTGCATGTGCCAAGGCCCTGCACGCACCTCAGCAGCCAGCCTGGGGCAAACCCTGCCTCCCCTACCCATTTGTCTGCACAGCCCAAGACTGCACAGCCACCCACCTCTGCCTGCCAGCAGATCTGAGGCCAGGGAGCCTCTTGACACCCCAAAAAAGGTTTTGCCACCCAGAGGAGACCCATGAGGTGGGACAGACCAGCAGGGCACTCACACAATGAACTGGGACAGGTCACACCACTTCCAGACAGCCACATCACGCATCCTCTCAGCAAAGGTCTTCCCGCAGCGGGGCAGCCTCTCCAGCATCCGGGTCTCGTTGCAGCAGCACACGCGGGCACATGTGCCTATGGGGGGACAGTAGGTGTGGGACCTCAGCAGTGCCTCGGGCTGATGTCCCCCACAGGCCAGCAGTCCCCCTGCCTCCCGGGAGACACCCACCCAGGCCCAGCCCTGCCAGGGCCTCAGCCACCACCAGGCATACACCCTGCCCTTCATAAAAACAAGGCCACCGGGGCCACGCCACTAACCCAGAACCCCAGAGGTTCTCAGTGCAGCCCGGACCCTGACACCTGGTCTCAGCCCACAGCTGTGACAGCTGCTTCCTGCAGCTGGTATGTGACTTTTTTATTTTTTCTTCCCTGTTTCCCTTGTTGTAGTGGAGGCCTTCACAACAATCCACATCCCCCCTTTTATTTTTTATTTTGAGACAGAGTCTCACTAAATTTCCCAGGCTGAGTTCAAACTTGCAATCCTCCTGCCTCAGCCTCCCAGAGTGCTGGGATTACAGGTGTATGCCACCACACCCAGAATTTTTGCTGTTTTGGTTTGTTTGGGGGGTATTGGGGATCAAACTCAGGATCTTGCGCTTTTGAGGCAGGTAGCGAAACCACTGAGCTAAATCCCTGGCCCCTACACCCAGGTTTTTTACATGTATAGAAGCCTCACTATATGAGTATAAAGGAGACAAGTAGATCTACTTCCCTGTCCAGGCATAAGGCAGAAACATGGACCTACTTTCTACCAAAAACAACTGAAAGCCCAGAGCAAAACGTGAGTAATAACATCATCAAATCATCAAGATAGGGATGGCAAGGAACTAACCAGCCACAGACCAGAAGGATGGGAGCCCAGAGCCATAGGGTCACTGGGCTGGGGGCCAGGGGACAGCATAGGGCAGATGAAGCCCAAGGCAGTGACATGATGAAAGGTACTGGGTAAAAGGATATTCAGCAGGAAATGAGCCAGAGATACCACACCTTCACCGGCCGAGGACACCCCGATGGCCTCTGGCAGGGCAAAGGACCCCAAATCAGTGCAGGGTGAGCTCCTCAAGGACTCACCACCCAAGTTCTGACATGGCTCTACCTAGAAAAACCCAGGTTGCATTTGGGTTTAAAGTGACCATGGACAGGGCCAGCAGAAGCAGAGCCAAGCACCGCCTGGAGGCAGGTACCGGGACTGCAGCCCACATAGCCTCCACCCCCGCCCCCTTGGGCAAAGGACCCCAAATCAGTGCAGGGTGAGCTCCTCAAGGACTCACCACCCAAGTTCTGACATGGCTCTACCTAGAAAAACCCAGGTTGCATTTGGGTTTAAAGTGACCATGGACAGGGCCAGCAGAAGCAGAGCCAAGCACCGCCTGGAGGCAGGTACCGGGACTGCAGCCCACATAGCCTCCACCCCCGCCCCCTTTTT